CTGAAGCTCTCTACTTTTAATCTTTCTTTCTTCCATTATGACTCTCAAAACACTGATGCACAGGGAAGCAAAACACTGGGGCTAAGTTTGGGGAGCAGGGAGGGAGAATTTGAACACTTTGTTTGAGAAAGCTTTTGAGATGAATGTTCTCGATAAAGATACAAAAAGATATAAAAATTAAATCTTGATAAAAAAATTCTGTTTTACTTTTGGACAAAAAGAGGCTTTTGGACTCTGATTAGTGGAAACAAATCCCACAATACTGAAAGGTCTCTACAAGAGGAGAAAGAATCAATCCATTTTTTTTCAATTTAATGGCATTTTACTAACTCTTCTAGCAGCCAAGGCAAAGTCAGAGGCTGAGCCCAGGTGATCCTGGAGATTTCATCTTTAATCTGCCTAGTGAGAAGGCTCGAAAGAAATGTCTTGATTTCTGATGGTTTTCTCCTTACCTTTGTTCACATCCCTTGTGTGAAGGGTTCACAAGGTTTCGTGCTCTGCAGCAAGGCAGACCGTTAAGGAGAGCTCACCTATTCCTGCTCGGTCGGTCCTAAACAGGAGAACAAACAAGTGAAACAAAGCAAAACTTATCAGCGAGCATTCTGCTGAGTGGCATTCACTACCCCTTTCAAGACTGGGAGCAACATGTTTAAAAGAGATCTTTTTCTTATCTGAAAATATTTAAGCGAAAAGTGAGGGGAAATGGAAATTGCCCTCTGCCTTGTGGATTCCCCAGGGATGAGGCAATAGACAGCTCTTCTCTTTGTTTCAGAGAGCAGAACAGGTTGGCATTAAGACTTCATTTCATGCAAATGATAATCCAAAAACTATTTCTGAAGAAGAGCTTTAAAAAAACAAATCCAGCTGAGCCAGATTCTGAAATACAGTGATTATAGCGTGTACTGGGAGCACTGAATACAATAAAGACAGACAAACTATTTTTAATCATTTAGATAAATGATTTTTTTCCTTAAATCCTACATTTGCGGTTGTTTGGGTTTTTCTGGGAGAACGAATCCAGATTTTTATTTTATTTTTTTTAACTTGGACATAGTTTTATTTTTAAACCCGGCTTTCAGAAATGCGTGCGTGTGGGATTGCAGTTGGGCCCAATAGCAGCGCCTGGCTTTCTGCCAGGCATTTGTCCTGTCCCTACAATATAGATGGATTGCCAGTGTTCTGGAGAAAAACAACCCCAAAACTTTAAACAAATTCCATTTAATGGAAATAAAACTTTTTTCTTCTTTTTTCCCCCCGCCTCCTGTGTAATGATTCGGGACATGCACTGGCTGAGGAGAAAAGGAGGGAAGAGAGGGGCCGGGACGGAGCCTTTGCGGCTGGCTCTCCAGAGGATGCTCCAGGAAGGCTGTGGGGAACAACCAGGAGGTTTCTAAGCTTGAGTTCTCCAGCTCCAGGCCTTCGTTAGAAGGTCAGCCATCCAGTTCTGGAGGTTCCTGGTGCTCATTGACTGGTTTTGTAGCACCTGGGCAGGCTCAGGCCTTACCTGGCACACGCCACGAGTGGCGTCCCGTGCGTGGCTCTCACAGGCCGTCCTCGTCCCGTTCCCAAATTTCTCCTGGTTTTTGGTGGTGGGTGACGAAGGAATGGAGCTGATACTGAGTTTCCTCAGAGAGGAGTAGGAAACCTAGGATATGGCCTGTTTTGCGGAGAAAAGGAACCATAGCCATATCTCAGTGTTTTTCCAACTGGTGCTGATAAATCTTCTCTCTCGCTTCTGTTGCTATGGAGTCAGCTCTGTTCAAAAACAAACCTATGGGTGATCTTGTCAAATGCAAAGACTGTTTGGAGAGGGAGAGAGGGAGATGCTGAAGGAGAAAGGAAGTCGGAGGGCTCGGATTCCAGCTCCTGGTAAACAGTGGATCAGTGTTTGTCTCTGCAGAGGGGCCGTCGCAGATTTTGCCCTGTACTTTCATGGACTTGCGAGTGGCTCCAACATTCCCCTGAAAGGCTTCTCCTCTCCCCCACCATTTTTTTCCCCTTTCCTCCTCAGGATATAAAAGGAAGGTGGAACTCTTCCAAATCCTACGCAGCTCAGAAATGTTTGCTTCCCCCAGCGCGGCCTGTGGCACAGAGGCCTTATTCTTGTTCTTACCGTTTGATCTGCCAGTGCACAGAATACTGGATCCAGCTGAGTGTCCGTGCGGTTGGAATGTACCTGCTGCCCTTGCTGAGCTGCCCAGAGCCAGCGTCGAGTTTCCTGCCACAATAGCTGCCTTGGCAGCTCGGTCCAGCCCTTGCTGCGACTCCTGATGCCGCTTTGTTCATGAGGGAGGAGGCAGCCGCCCGTTATGGGGGCCCTTTCTAAGGCTTTCTGGTCTGCACAGTAGGTGCCTTCTCCCAAAGGTGCCCGTTGGGTTTAGCAGATGCAACTACCAGGTAGAAGTTTGGCCCTGCGTGTGCAGGGGCTTGGACTAGATCATCTCTAGAGGTCCCTTCCAACCTTAAGGGCTCTGTGATTCTATGAAGTTCTCTTGCCCCGTTGTCTTACGTTTCTGGAGAACAGGAACATGTGCTTGAAATGCCTCGTTGTGCCTTGAAGGCTTTTGTTTCTATTCCTGGGTCAAGGCTGAAAGGGAGAACTGTTTTCTTCTGAATATTTCCTTCAGACTGAGCTGCAAGTGGAGTGAGAATGCAGAGGAGTAACCAATCTCAAATACTTGTTTGCTTCTTACTGTTTTTCACATGAGAAGACCTGAACACAGCTTAATTCACATTTTTGTGCTTCTGCAACTGGGAACTTTGTGAGCCAGCTAAACAGACCTTTTGTGCTGCTGTTCCCTTCCAGCTGTGATAGGCAGCCAAAGAAAAGTCAAGAGAAGCAGTATGATCAAGTGAAAATTCTTTAAAAATATTCAGTGTTTTTCCGGAACTTGCTTGCAGAGGCTGCATCTCCTCTCCTGTTTCTGGCTAAGCTGCATCTCGTTCGTTTTGTCCTGATGGGAGCTGCCCGTAGGCAGCCCCGTGCCGCGGGGCCGCGCTGCTCACAGGAGCCAGGGCGGGAGCCGCTCACAGGGCCAGAGCTTCTGTGAACCTCCTGCCCAGCCCCAGGTTAACAGTGTCACCCGTCATTCCCCTTTCAGCATCATGTGCCCCGTTAGTCTTGCCCCGTTACATAATCTTGGCATGCAGGGGCTTTGCTGGGCACTTGGAGCAGGGCCTCCGCTAGGCTCAGCACAGTTAGGAGATGTTGTCCAGTGGCATTAGAGTCAGAGAAGTCTCTCTGAGATAACGCTACAACCACAACATGCAACTGTTAATAGCAGCCTGGAGTGTATGAGCAAGCGAAGATAAGCTCTGCTGTGAATCGTGACGTGCTTTCTGTTGGCGTTTGCTTCAGGCCACTTGTTCTGCACGGGCAGGACAACTCCATATAAAAACACCTACTTGAGCGCTGCAGTCAAGCCACGTGGGCTGGCTGGGCTACGCTAACGGTTACAGTGTTCTTAGAACTCAAGATTTTATTGGGGCTCGAGCTCTTACCCTCATGGCTCATTGATAAGCCATTAAGATACTCCTTAAATCAAAGCAGGGTCGTCTGTATAAAGCTGGGAATTTTGTTGGGCTAAGGAGACAGTGAAGAGCAGAGTTTTATGGAAGCAGCCCATCAGCAGTGTGACCTGCCCTGCTCTCCTCTCTCTTTCCCCCGTAAGGAAAGGAAAGGTGGCAGTGGGAAGGTGTCTGTACCTGAAAGATCACGTGCAAACCTTGGTTTGCTCTGCACACAGCTTGGTCCTTTTCCAAGGTGTCCTGGTCTGTAGTTTAAGTTGCCACCAGAACAGCAGATCACGCAACTGGTTCAAGAGCGTTTGCTCGCGTGGCAGCCCTTGTGCTGTGATGTTTTGGCATGAGCCAGTTTTGCTCTCTGTACTGCACAAAATTACAGATTTGTAAAGAGCTTCGTAGGATCGTTCATCTTGGAAGGGACCTTGGGAGGTTTGTAATCCAACATTTTAATCATACGGGCTTCAACACTGCATTGAGGCTGAATTGCTTAAGGCATTGTCCAGTCTTGAAAATCTTGAAGAAGGGGGATTCTGTAACCTCTCTGGGAGCCTATGGTACAAAGTTACTGTCCTACTGGTGAAACGTCTTGCACTTATTAACTTTATAGTCTCACTGTGTCAATTTATGACCTGGTCGGATGCACCTGAGCCCTCACAGCACCATTGGGCAGCTCTTAGCAGCCTTGCACGCATCCCTTCGTGTCTGATACCCTGTTGAGATCAGGATTTCTCAGGAGGTCTCTGACTCCATCCTCTGCCTGCACAGAGCCTCCTTCCTCTGCTCCTTCAACCCCATCTCTAGACACAGAGGCAGAGGAGACCTTTTTGGTGAAGACTGAGAAAGGCAGCTGTGAACACGTGGGCCCTATCTGCAGTCACTAAACCTCACCCATTCCGCTCCTCAGCAACCTTCCTTTTTCCTAGTGTGTTCTGCTGCTCCTGTATAGCTGTCCCTGCAGCAGGTGGCTTGGCAAAGATCTGCTGGCTTTTGTGGCCCCTGTGTTAACTCACCCATCATTCAGGAGAGGGCACCGTGGGGGTTCTCTTATTAGTGATGTTCATCTCTGGTGGCTGGTTCTTCGGCAAGGACGTGTACGTAAGGGGAAGAAAGCTCAATGAGGGAAATGCTGGTTCAGAATAGACAAGAAGCGTGGAAACACCTTGGGGTAAAGGGTGCTTGGCAGTGGCTCTGTTGCTGTTTAAAGAAATCAGATCTAACCTGTTTGAGATATTTGGGTAATCTTTTGGTTTGGTTTGGTTTGGTTTGGTTTGACAGCTAATGAAATGTGGATTCACAGGGATTCAGTGTGGGGGCTTAGAGTAACGTACCAAAATAAAGGTGGTGCCCAAAGTAAATGGGGCATCACCTTGTGCCTTAGGGAAACAGCCTGATCAAACTGAAACGGCAGGAACAGTGACAGAGCAAGAACTCAGATTCCCCCGAGATTCATATGAGGTTTCTCTCTGTTCTTTCAGCTCGACCTGACCAAACCAATCGAAGATCAAGGTCCTTTGGATGTGATCATACATAAACTGACGGATGTCATCCTTGAAGCGGACCAGAATGACAGCCAGTCCCTGGAGCTCGTTCACAGGTTCCAGGTAAGTGCTTCTTAGCCCGTTCTCTTCTGAGCAGGAAGGTGAACTAGGTGCAGCAAACTTGCTCTCCTCCCTGTGTGGTTAATGGCGTTTGAAAAGAGTTCTCTGGCCTGGTGCTGCTCTGCAGCTGAGAGCTCCAGCAAATAGTTCAGTTAGTCTGAGGTGGACTGGCACCTTGGTGTGGATTTGTCCTGTGCTGGTGAGCCAGGCAGTGGCTGCTTTGCCTTCCATCGTCGTCCTGAACACAGCAGGGCTGCCCACGAAGACTCCCCTTGCATTTCTCCACAATAGAAGCTACTAAATTAACCTGGCCCAGCCCTATCTAGTCTTCCCCAACCCTGGAGTGCTGCTTTTTGTAATGCCAATAATGCCAAAGCTGTTGGGAGTTTTCCTGTCCTCTACTGCTGAGAATCCTGTTCTGTTTTTCCTCCTGTTCAAGTTTTCACTGTAGGTCAGAAAGGAAGCCAAGGGCTTAGCGATGCACACAGCTGTTTTTCCAGAGGATTCCTGTCAGTGGGCTGAATACTGCAGCACTCACCCTTTTAGAAGGTGGTGTTTAGAGGGGATGGCTTCGATCAAAGACATAGCTTTTTTTTTTTCTTCTCTTTCAATGAGAAGCAAAATTATATAAAATATTTCCACACTTTTGTGAAATATGCTGACATAAGGTGGAAAAACCTCTCATAAGTTGTGCAGCTTTGACAAGTTTGCTTTCTCAGGAAATAAAGTTCTATTTGCTCTACTTAATACTGTGCAACTAGTAGCACAGAAAATATTTTACTTAATAGAGAAAATATTCTCTCTGCTGCAGTTACAAAGCTTTTCTGTGTCTTCCTACCTATGTATTATTCAAGCCTGCACCGGAGAGGAAAAGATTTGCCTGGTGGGCCTGGCCCTCTGGTGCCAGTTCTCTGAAGAGTAGGTGACTGCTGATCTCTAGGTCGTGCAGCATCCACTGCCCACAGCCCCTGGAGCTTGTCAGTGACTGCACAAACTAGAGAGGTCGCCATGGATTTCAGGGGCCTCGGGCTCAAACTATTTTGGAATTTCAACTATAATTTGCTTTCAACAAATAATTTGCTTTCCCAGGACCCTCATGCTATAGATGGGAAGGACTGAGAACCAAAGAGGGGAAAGGACTGAATTTTAGGCTGAGCCTAAACCCTGCCTTAAAAACCCCTAAAAGCAGTTTCTGATACTGGGCAGGGGATAACCCGCCAGGTGAACGCTTGCTCTGTCAACAAGAAACAAGCCCACCCAAGGCTCCTTCTGAAATTCTCAGATTTTTCAAAACCGTGTATGTTGAAATATCTTATTTCAAATAATAACTACAGTAATATTTTCTTTCAACCACAGAATATTCAAAATGAAATTACTCTTTTAAACTGTTAGAAATCATGAACGTTTAATACAAGTCGAACTCACATAGATAATACAACGTGATATTAAGAAGCATATGTGGGGATGTTGTTGCCATTTTCTAAGCGTTTATGGGGAAGAAAATATTTTATTATAGTGCAGTTTGCGTTCTTTTCGGACAGTAAAATATAATTCAGTTTCAGCACACAAATGCTGGCAACAGAGTTCTCAAATATCCACTTTTTAATTTTTTTTCAAAATAGAGGGAGGGAGACTGGAGTCCATGTTTAAAAGGATGGCAAAACTCCCAGAAATCACGAATTTCTGTCTCAGTCATCAAATTCATTTGCTGCTGTAGTGGGTGATGCATCAGTTTCACCCCTTGATCTTCTGATCACAACTTCTAAGCTTTCTTTAGCACTTGAGTCCCGCCAGCTCCTCCCTTGGTGCTGTTCTCCCCGCCAGGAGCTCGCTGCAGCTCCGGGAATGCCCTCTCCAAGTCCCTAAACCTGAATTCTGGTTTCTGACAAGAAAACTCATGTTGCCCTAAAAAAAACCTCACATTGCCCTAAAATGCGACTTTATCTCGTGTTCAAGTACAGCCTTGTGTGCAGGTTCAACAATTCAGACCTGCCTCTCCTTCCTCTCCCATTAGAGTAATAAATCAAGAGTGTCGTCGTGCTCAAGGTGACCCGGGTTACAGAGGGCACAGCTGTTTGCTCCTCTGCTTTGCTTCTTCTAACCTCTCTGCTGCAGCTCCTGCTGCCTTTGCTGATGTTGGAAGTCAGAGATCCTTCTTTTCAGTGCCCCGCAGAAGGAAATCACCAAAAAACACTCCCTTGGCAGCCAGGGCAAGCGAATTTTGATGCTAGCTTGTGGTTCCTGTCCCAGGTCTTCTCTCCCTTGCTCTTTCCCGGGTTAACAGCATCTCTCCTGTTTCATGTTCCTGATTTTTTTTTAAAGCAGTATGGGCTTAATCTCACGCAGCAGCTCAAGTAACGACTGACCTGTCAGGCCAGGGCTTTGGCCTGGGCGTTGTGCTCCTCACAACTGCTGACTTATGTGTAGGTCTGAGAGCAGCCGTTGAGCTCGCGAGTCCTGGAGAGCCCTGCCAGAGCACTGCACAGCCTGACACTGGGCGTCAAGTGCTTCCTGCAGGGCTTACATAGGGACAAAGTGACTTAAAAGTCCAGGTAGCTCACGAGCACTCTGTTTCCTCCAGGACTTTTGCAGACCTGTCTGTTGCCTTCTAAGAATAACAGAAAACAAATGGGAGGCAGGTTGAGCTCGTGCAGGTTTAGCTTGTGGTAAAACGAAGCAGAAATAACTAAGCCAAAGACTAGACAATGAAGCTGGAATGCAGTTCTCAGCTCTGTTTCTGTCTGTGTTGCTGTTGAATGCTCATGTCTTTCTGCGCCTCAGCTCACTGTCTCCATTTAATAAATGAGTCTCTCTTAATAAAGGACTTTGTAATTTCCCATAAATACCAGAATTGCAGGGATACTTTGATTCTTAGGAAGCTAATTTGCAGGAGGTTGGTGGGAAATCTGAAATCGTTTGTTCTGCTAGTGCTGTGCATCTGGACCATGTGCTGCCTGCTGTAGGAAGCAGTGGGCTTGCTCCCACATCGGATACTTGTGCAACACGCCAGCCAGGGAAGTCTCGAGTTGCGTGAGGGTTTGTTAATCAATAAGCAGTGATTAACACTTAGAAAACCCTGTCTTTAGACAGTAACATTAGAAAACCACTGTCTGCAGCAATGTGTTCTTGGTATTTTCCTTCTGGGTCTCAGGTACAAGAGGCAGATGGAGTTGAAGATGAGTGTCTCTGCAAATCAGGTGGTGAGGAAATAGTCCCCTGTCTCCTGCCTTGGTTGGCGAATGCAGGTGAACTGTCTGTGTTGGTATGAGAAGAAAATCAAGTGGGTAAAGATCACTGTATGGGCACCGAGTATGAGCTTGCCTTGGCATCTTCTGTGCAGAGGACAAAGAGTGAATAGGGAAGAGCTGTGTTTTGAGGACCTCTCTAAATTGTCATCTTCATTTCACGTGGCAGGTGACGGTCGTTTTAGTCTCCTGGCAGAACCCGTTGCCTTTTGGACATTTCTGGCTAGCTGTGATTTGCAGTCGCTCAGCCCAGCCCAGCCGTGTCGGCCGCACGAGCTCTAGAAAGGCTCTTTCGGGGCTGCAGTAAGGAACTTGTCTAATTCTTCTTGCGAAATGCTTGGATCCAGCTGGCTAGTGCCTTCAAGGCCTTCATTTTACTAGTATTAAATTTCACCACAAATGAAAATAATAAAAAAGCCAAGAATGTTAGAGGAGAACTTGATGTTCTTTCTTTTCTTTCTGCCCTTTCTTTCCCTGCTGTTGGTTGCTCAGTAAATACTTCATTGTCTAACACATTCACTCTTTTTGAGGATTATGTCATCTTCCTGCAAAGTGCAGCATAGTGCATGGAGCACTAGAAGGGCCTTCTGTGATGTGGTTCAGCATTTCTATTTTCTGTCCTCAAATTCTTTTTTTTCTTTTTTTCCCCCAAAAGTTGTAAATTAGAGAAAATGACGATAATTTCCTTTTGAGGTTCTTTCAAGGTTAATAAGAAGAACTCTTTATGGCAGCAAAGAACGACTGCCAGAGGAAAATAAACCTGGGTGTTTTGTTTCTGATTGGAGCCCTGATAGGACGTTGCAGTGGCTGTGATGACATCCCATTGACGGAGCAGGTTTGTGCAGTCTCTGCCACCTGACGAAATCCTTTATCTTCGCCAAGGCACCTGCCGACACGACAGCAGTTTCCTTTTCCTCTGCTGCTCTGCTTTTCTTTAGTAGAGAACTACTGGAAAATAAGATGAGGTGTGTGCTCCCTAGAAGGAATAATTTGTAATAATCCGCTTGTGTAAGGTGTGTTTTGCATTTTGCTTTTTATTTTTGACTCAAATCAATGAGTAGCTTAGAAGAGAGACAACCTTGCAAGAGAGCTGCCTGTGTGTGAGACCTCGCCAAAGCGCTGTGGTGTTTCTGGCACCTGCAGGCAAGTGGAAATAGTTTGATTCCCTTCTTGTTTATTAAATTGACCTAAAAAAATGTGATGATCTTGAGCAGATCAGGCAATTGAAAAATTGTGATGCTGGTTTTCCTGCTTTTGGATGTAAATGTAGCAGCAAGGCAAAACCTGGCACCTGTTTCACTGTTGTCTCTGTAAAACTGTCTTCCAGGAAGCAGAGTGCAAGGCATCCTTGACTGCGGGACGAGGAACAATCAGCCAAGCTACATTTATAACCTTTGGAAAAAAGTATTTTTTAGAACTGCATTGTAGAGGCCCAGATCACCTCCCACGAGAGCTGGATAGGAAACTGGTTTCCCAGTTACATGGTCCATGTGCCAGCGCTCCGGAGTCCAGGAAATCCCATGCCAGGGTCTGCTGCAGATACCGGTGGATTGGGAAGCCTCCTCGCGTGCCCTTCTCCCTTGCTGTTTGGCTGTTCTCAGTCAATCACCTTGTCAAAAGCAGTTGTTCAAGGCTGCAGATGGCAAGGAGGGGCTGCCTGCGGCCCGGGGCTTGCAGCTGGAGGTGGCTCTAGGGGCTGAGCTCTGAGGTCTGCCCGCTGCCCGGGGCCGCAGTTGCACAGGAGGGCACTGGCAGCTG